TCCCGGCCCGGTTTGACCTTCCCGCCCCGGTTTGACCTTCCCGCCATGTGGCATGCCGAGAATACACGTGATACCGATCCTACAAATAGTTGGGCCAGTCTGACCTGGAACAACTTCTCCTTTGAAATGCACCATCGCAGTCATCCCAAGTATTTGCCGACGTGATATTACTTGATATTATTTAATTATTTGATTATTTGATTATTTGATTATTTGATTATTCAATTTTGAGCCTACCAGACTATTTGAATATACAAGACATTCTCTCCTTATTTCCTAATTTTGGTAGTATGCTTCTGCCGCCGTCTCCCCTTGCACCGGCCTCCAAACAACCTCACTCCAGGCCCACGTCGGCTCGACCAGACAGCGGCTAATTTTCAACAGCCCATCCTCGACCTGGATCCCTCCCCTCGCATGTAGATCCGGCTTGGTAGGGGGAGAATATCATTTCCCGGATGGTAGATGTCATCGTGTACAGGTTTTGGGTTTATGATTTCTTCAATCTTCCTTAAGGATGCCTGTCAAACAAGTCTACATGTCCTATTTGAAATATTGAAATAGTTTCATGAATTGATGAATTGATGAACGAAAGTTCAACAGGGCCCTGAATGAGGAACGGCTACACTCCTGGTGGGAATGATATGAATGTATGGTAGAGGTGTATTCGATTTTGAAATATTAATTGTTGGGAAGACCGTAAATTAGGCTAATTAGCGAGGAGGACATCTATTGTCGATGATTCATGGCACCCTCTAGAGCGTCAGATGTAATAATGAAATCTTTTTCGTCTTTAATTCTTGATCGTCGACATTAGATATGTATCTGTGTTTTCACAGACGTTGGAAATAAATCATGAGATAGCTCAATGAGAAGTTAGTATTGACTGCGATATAATATGATAGAAGATTTGTACCAACTATCAGAGAGCTACAACGTCTTTATCTATCTACATCCAAATTCTCCATATTCGAGACATACTCGACTTACCAGACGTAGCATATAAAAGTTGATTCGTCTCATCATTTTGGTGTTGAGGTTTACCGTGCATATGCTTCTCGAGTCGCATGTCTTACTACTGTGCGACACGTTCAGGTATAAATCTAACAACCCACACCAAAGCGATACTATTCTAAACCCTGATGATGAGACCATCAATAATTGTAACAGTAGCCTGCATCATAGTGCAATTAGGCTAGACGTCGTAATAGGATCTAATCCGAACAAATTGGGTTGAGCTAATGTATAGAAATCACCTTTATCAAGACATTTGTTACATTTCATCACGACCATCGGGAAAGAATCGGAAGATTAGAAAGGCAGAGTGTGAATTTCCCGAAGTGCTCACAAGTCTGCAGCGCCTGGCTTGCTGGTCTCTTCGAATGCATCAGAAGAGTCAACATGTCCTCGGATTTAGTATTAATGTCGGTATAAGAAGAGCTCTGTTCCCAGTGGTTATGGGAAAATTTTCAGACTCCCATGCATTCGGAAATGGCCATCGTTTCGTTGGATAGAAAAGGGAGATAGTGAAGGGCTAAGGGCTCCTCTTAGTGTATGATCGAATGAGGACTTGTGAGGAGTGTGTTGATGCAATACGGTAAACGTGCATAAAAGAATAAGAGCTAGAATATATTCAAAATAGAGACACAATGTAAATCATTTATAATTTAATCATTCATAATCTATCTGCGCTACTCTTTTTTTGTCTAATTTAAAATTCCAAAGTAATGTGTCGTAATTTGGAGACCATTGTTACAACAGGGGAGTACTGTTTGAGGGCGGCTGTATGGGAGGCAAAGGAACACATATACGTCTAGCATGGTTATCCTTAGCCTGTAGGTAGAGAGTACCTAAATTTGTTGATATAGTTATAGACGCAATGGGATAATAAACACAAAAAAATGGACACGAGACCTCGAAAAATGTGTGTAATGGGAGGCTGGAAACTTATGAGTGACCATGAGCCTGGTAAGTAAAGGAATAAGCCATTCTACATGGCATGCCAATTTAAGTCTTCACTACTAAGCAGCTCTAATTTCTAAAAGACTCTCAAATCGAAGAATATTACGCGCACAAAGCATCCGATTTTTAGAGTACAGTTACCTCTTCTTTTTTTTTTTTTTTTTTAAAAAAAAAATCATATTGTATTCAGCTATCTAGCTATGACAAGCAGTTACCTCTTTATATACAAGCCGACGATGGAAGTTGCCTTCGTCCGTCTCCTGATGATGATCTTTAGAATAATTTGAATAGCCCGATGTGAAGGGACTAATCACATTAGCTATTCGCATGAAAGTGTGTCGTAAATTAGTTTATATTCTGTATAAAGAAAGAAGTACTACGAAAACTATATGCTTATCTATTCGATACAGCGCGTCGCGTATGGATTTATGCAGGAGTTATGCTTTACACAACTCCGTAATCCAGCCAAGCCGTGTACTCAAAGACTTCTCGATAATTGAACCGGATAAACTCCGGTTATCATACGCAATTAAAATCTGATGCAAAAAAAAACTCCGGTTATAACTAAACAAGGCGCTAGCCTATAACACCCGGGCACGTATTCCCTCTGGAAATCAGACGCTACAGACCACAATTCCCGCGGAGATAGGTCAAAGGATGATGGTGGCATGCCTGGATAACCTTGGGTATCTGAGAATTTTCCCTGGATGTAAATGGACTGGTCACGCTAGCTGTTCGCACAAGGGAATCCAAAAATGGAGTTTATATTCTGTACAACGAAAGGACTATATGAATTACGCGATTAAGGATGTACTGAGTCTTACGTAACTCACCCGAACTTGGCTACCAAATAATATCACGTGAATAATCATTACATGGAATCGGACATTTCCGGCTCCAACCATACAAGGCAGTAAGCCTTGAGCCTTGCATCATGGATGGATGGTGCGGTATTTCTGAATGGATCTATTAGTATCATCTCGAGAGTGGCGGTAATACACCAAAGGAGTAATGAGCCTTGGGGACTGGCTGTAAAAGTGCAGGTGCTACGCTACACGCAATCATGTAATTAGAAAATTGCCCTGCAAACCTAGTTAGGAAGTAGCAAGGGCAATGCCACCAGGGCAGTAAGCTCTGGCGTCCATACCTCTAGGTAGTTTAGTGGGTAGTAGAGACCTCAGCCAAGCTTGGCGCCCCGACGGATGAAAAATAGGAAACAAACAAACAAGGCGGTAAGCTTGTAATACTGGATGAGTACTCACGGTTGAGAGTTGGCTTGGGACGAAGAAAAAGACACCACAACTTAGTAGAGGTACATGCAAATGAAATTCAAGATATAATTGCTCTTTTTAACTTGAGGAATCCATCTGTAATCTATTTCTATCAATTTCTCAAAGCTACATAGCTGCTTACGTAGGTCAAATATGATTCAAAAAAAAGATAACTCCTGAAAAAGTCAAATTGATAAGCTGACCTGGACAGTAATTCATTTTATTGTCCTGTCTGAGTCTATGACTATGTAGGACATGCAGGTCCTCTCTGCCTACAGGCCAAGGATACCTAAACCAGTAGTATATCCCATCCTATGCCTCCCATACAGCTCCCCTCAAACAGTATCACCCCTCACAAGTCCTCATTCGATCATACACTAAGAGGAGCCCTTAGCCCTTCATTATCTCCCCTCTCCAGCCAACGAAACGATGGCCATTTGCGGGTGTATGGCAGCCGGGAAAAATCGCAAAAACCACTGGGTACGGAGCTCTTCTAATACCGACATTTGGAATAAATCCGAACACATAGTGACCCTTCTAATGCGTTCGAAGAGGCCGGCCAGCTGGGCACTGCAGACTTGTGGGTACCTCGGAGAATTCACACTTTGCCTTTCTAGCCTCCTTCCAACTCATTCCCGAAGGTCGTGCTGAAATGTCAGAAAAGTCTTGACAGAGCGTGATTGCTGTATTGTAGCTTAGCCCGACTTCTTTTGTACCGTCCAGGGCGCTGGGGAGTGCCGTTGACTCATCGACAAAAGAAGCCCTCCTGGCTAATTAGCCGAAATCTTGGTCTTGGCGCCCACACAAAATCCAAAGTTGAAAACTCCTCGAAAATATCAGTCATAGCATACTCTTCAGAGACCTGTTCCCCTCTCGCTCGATATATCAGCCGCCTGTCCCTCCTCAAGATGTACAACCCTATTAGAGCAGCAGTCCCCCATAAACCAAGACCCCAACTTTGTATTTTTCGACTTGATTTCCTCCTTGCGGGTATAAATAGCGTCGTAAATTTATAGTGAGTGATGGCCCGCGATGAATGAGGCAAGCTCCTGTTTGCAATTGGGGTGACGCATTTATCGCTCGGCGAGGCGAAATGATATGTGTTTAGATTGGGGTTGAGGACTCAGAAGACAATGATGAGTGCTGCATGGTTGAGAAGTCGTCAAATGGAGATATGCATGTGTTTGCTTTCGATTTCGATTCGGATGCGATTCGGATGCGATTCTTCTTGGCTATCCCAGATATGCAGAGCATACTGAGCGATTACACCGGCACCACTGGAAGGTGGAGAATTCGTCTTTGCCGGCGACCTGGACAGTATATTGTGGTGCTTTTTGGCTCGGTAAACTCGCTTATCATGAGTGTGGAGTTGCAGATATCAGTTCGTAGAGATTTACTATCGTTAATAAGAGGTAAAACGACTATCAACAGCTTGTCAGATATCTTTCTCGTTGAAACAAATTAAACTCAAAGGTAATTCATGGGCCAGCGGTCAGGTAGAAGAAAGCCCGAAAACCCCCTGCTCCAGATAAATACCTATTTAGGCTTTCAATGAATAAATTCTTTAATTAAAATTGCCTTAGGGCTCTCAGGGTAGGATCAGGGAGAAAAGTGAAACTCGTCTGGTGCATAAATTGGTGAGTCATAAGGAATGCAGATCATTGTGCACTAGGCAGTTTCTGGTGCTATCATAGATGGCGGTGGGGTAGGTTAGGGCTGATAAGAAAATTATGCGACTCGCAAAGCAGGCGATGGGACTGCCAGCGCACACAGCAACCCTTCTTCGCTGTGCCAACCTCCTCCATAACTGTACCTTTTGCCTACGTTTCCTATATTGCGCGTCCACCTGTGTATATATTCACTCGGAATTTTGCAACAATGACAGCAGATTCTGATGCGTTTAATGGTGCAGCACTGGCTCAATTCGAGAGAAGCGGGGTAGAAGGGCGGGTCAATAACAAAGCAGAGAAGGAATGGGTGGTGCAAAAGTTTGGAGGCACATGTGTGGGCAAATTTGCGAGCAAGATTGCAGAGGACATTGTGAGGTTTGTCACGAATAGAACCGTTTGAGATCACCTGGTGGGAAGGCTAATTTGGCATCCACCCAGACCCGGGCTAAGAAATAACAAAATTGCGGTTGTTTGCTCAGCACGAAGCACCGGGAAAAAAGTAGAAGGGACTACAAGTCGGTGAGTAAGGCTTTACATACTTTCTTGATTTGTGGAGTACGATTGATGGCCGTCTAGATTGCTAGAGATTTATGGTATCCTCCAAGCTGCCAATTCGACCAAAGATCCAAATTCCGCTCACTATCAGACGCTAGTCCACGAGTATGAGCGGTTGGTCTGCCTTATCCGCGAGGACCATCTCAACGCTGCAAGGCTCGAAATTAAAGACGAACAGATTCAAGAAAGTTTGATGAAAGATATCGAGGCAGAGTGTCGAGAAATATATGACTTTCGAATAGCAGCGCGAAGGTGGCATCTAGAGATAAACGAGAGATGTAAAGACCGTATGATCAGTTTTGGCGAAAAGCTGAGTTGTAGATTTATCGTTGCAATCCTGAAAGATCGCGGAGTCGAAGCGGAATATATAGACCTTGCAGATGTCATTCACTTCAAAAGCTGTAAATCTCGAAGCCATGTATTCTATAAGGAGATGACCATCATATTGCGAGAGAAAGTCTTGGGATGTCGCGACCGAGTACCTGTCTTGACGGGATACTTTGGTCCTGTACCCGGAGGGCTAATGGATGGTGAGATTGGGCGAGGATACACAGATCTTTGTGCATCACTCGTTGCCGTTGGGATTAAAGCTATTGAATTACAAATATGGAAAGAAGTTGATGGTATCTTCACTGCAGATCCATCAAAAGTCCCCACTGCACGTTTGCTGCCCACAATCACGCCATCCGAAGCTGCTGAACTAACGTTTTACGGTGCTGAAGTTATCCATCATCTCACTATGGACCAGGTCATTAACGCCAGCCCTCCTATACAGATCCGCATCAAAAATGTCAAAAATCCCTCCGGTAGCGGCACAATTGTTCTTCCCGACAAGAAGTTTTGCGGTGGTCATTTAGCTCATGTTCGCAGTCCATCAGCCAACAACCCACGAAGGATACCGAAGAGACCTACTGCAGTAACAATCAAGGATAAGATTACAGTAATAAATGTTCACTCGAATAAACGCTCCAATTCCTACGACTTTTTTGCGAAAGTATTCTCTATTCTAGACAAACAGCGCATGTCGGTAGACTTGATTTCTACGTCTGAAGTTCATGTATCGATGGCAATTCATTCTGCTAGTACTAGCGGAAATGATTTTCCAAAGGTGAGTCGTGAGCTTGAGGAATTCGGAGAAGTCAGTATTTTAGACAACATGGCAATCTTGAGTCTAGTCGGTGCAGAAATGAAGAATATGATTGGTGTTGCTGGCAGAATGTTTAGCACGCTAGGTGAGAACAATATTAACATCGAAATGATCTCACAAGGTATGTCTTTTTTCTCTACAATATCCCTTGATAATTATATCTTACCACACTTAGGTGCCAGCGAGATAAACATCTCCTGCGTTATCAGCGCGTTTGAAGCGGCGCGTGCTATGACCGTGTTGCATACGAGCCTCTTTACATTTCTTGAATGACTTAGGTGCTGGAAAGCCTAATCTATTTCTCGAGGTGACACTGGTATGAACCTAGAGCTTATGCATAGGTAGGGCGGACATAGCTGCTGTCATTGAGTGTCAACGAAGATAGACTACACATCTCGTAGTGTACCTTTTTCTAGTGTTTGTGCAGGTTCGATTTGAAAGGTCGTAAAACAGATTAATCTGATGTCGAAACACCCATGCATTATAGATGCTGAGATAATTCTCCATCGAAAGAAGATTTTGAGAAGGCAGGAGATGAAAGACTCACCTTGGCGCAGGCCATTATGGTTGACTCAGGTACAGCTTACCGGTATTTGGTTTCTGCCTTCGGGACTTCTAAGATTTATCGCTGTATTAGCGGTTTATGACCAGAATCTTAGTCAAAAATTACTCTGCTGTAATTTGAACAGCCAAACTACTATAACTTTTTTAATATTTATTGTCTTTACGAGTCGATAAATATACTAGGACATGTAAGTATCTTTTGAAAACAGGCCTGGAGTATCTACACGTCGAGTAGCTTACTCTATCTCATGCCTTGTTCACGTCTTTATTCCAGCAGTGATAACCTCTTCGGGCTACTGGTACAAATTTCGGGAAACTTTGGAACCTGTCTTGTTGAAGGTTAAGATGACTTAGGGGTATCAATAGCTCAGCAGATATGAGACTTCATTGTTCCTTTAGATTTGAGCTCTTACTATATATACTTAAGTCCTTCGTAGTCATAGACTCAGCACGGACTTAAATTTAATTATATTCTATTCTATATACAATTATGATCATAGGCTTGATCTACAATACTCTAAATTTAGACATGCGCAAGGAATGTAAACCCCGCAATTCTAAAAAAGAATAATCGAATTAAACTGAAATTCCTGTCTTTTTGTTGGAAATAACGCGCAATGAAATGGGCGCAATATTCATGGAACGAAAGTAGAAGTTGACTAAAAGAGTGTCATGTTCGTATTACAACTAAGAGTGTTGGAAGTGTGCGCTACAAGTACAAGTGTAATCCCACACGTATACATAGCGCCGGTCATGTGTCATAGCTAGATCGCTGAATACACATTGAATGATTTAAAAAAAAAAATACAAGTGTAAGCGACACAGAGCCTGAGCCACAGCATAAACGAGTGTGGCGCCATCTAGGCATAGAAAACCCCCCAATAACCTCCTTGCGCCCACGCCATACAGCCGCTCATATATCCACTATGAGGTTTCCGAGCGCGCGTTGTATACTTAGTAATTGGTGTGGTGGGCGTAAGAATGAAAGGGTATCACGTGGTGTCTCGTGGCTCCTAACTACAACGGATCTTGTGTAGAGCTTGAGACTAATACGTGAATTCTATATCCTTCAAGTGTCGGATGTCTATGTGTCTATATACATTGATTACTCCTTACTCCTCAACGCTATAAAATCTACTGCCGTGGTCGCGGGCTCTGACAGTGCGATATGCTGTGCGTGAGGTCATAGGATAATTACGATTGCGTGTGTGCCGTGTTTCCTACATCTAGCCAATTCGTGCCCTGTAGATCTATCCGGGATCCACGACTAGCTAGCCTTAAGCGCTACCATATTACCTAATCGAACCTCTTAACGACACATAAGATCGTGTCGGGAACCCAGACAAAATGGAGGGCCCGTACGTCCACAACACTCCGTGTCTCCATTTCCAACACTTTTTAACGTCATTGAATGTGTATTCAGCTGTCTAGCTTTGACAAATAATCTATGTTATGTTGACATCATGGATGACTCTTTTGAAGTTGGAGAAACTCGTACTCTGGATTTCATTCGCAAATAAGGGTTTGACCCTCAATATCTATAAGAACAAATTTTGGCATATTTCAAAATTAAATTTCTCAAATGTAATTAGAATTTTTAGATGGATTCACGAAGTCCTCCATAGTCTTGGACTCGGTAGGGACTGTAATGAAAACCTAATCTAATCTAATCATTCGCAAATACCACCATGAGGTACATTCGGGGGGGCAAGACTGAACACCTATACGCGGTGTCCTCTACGAACCTGGGAGTGAAATAATCTCCCAGAGCCAAGTTCAGTCAAATTTCGCAATATCAAAGAAGTCGGCTCACGAGGCAAAAATCCAAATTACTCCACCATGTCAATCTTTCACTGCCAAAGAGTCCGATTCTCAACTAAGCTTCATCAAGTCTACAAGTACGACCTAGTACATCCTCATCCCAATGACCACACCTCTCGTCGACTTTCTCTGGCCTCAGTTGACCACCAAATACACGCCCACGCCGATATTTATACCCGACGGAGGAAGCAAAGCGTGGAGCACAAATCTGGGAGAAAGCTCTTTGGGATGGACGTGAGAGGGATCAGGACAAGTTTACAAGATGATGCAGAAGAGGGAAATATTCTCTACGGGCGTGAAATTTCGAATTTTGGTAAGAGTTTTACGAAATGAGCTTTGTGCGCGCCAAGACTTCGCTTGCGAGAGTGCAGCTGACACTATAAAAACAAGCCAATGATGGAAGTTGTTGTGATCCGTCTCCTGGTGATGTTTATCCATTTATGTCCTATTTGAGTTTACAACTATGAAGGACAGTCCTGGTAATGTTCTCTGGTATAGTTTGAGTAGCCTGGGCACCTACTCCACTTGGGAAGGAGACATCTCAGATTACATTTCGCGCGGAGAAAAGTTGATGGATGACGGAGGCATGTCTGGATAACTCAGGGTTTGTGGGATGTTCTCCTGGTTGGGTATTCACGGATGAGGGTTGACTTGGGGTGAAGAAAAAGCCACCATAACTTCGCAGTGGTACTTGCAAATGAAATCTTAGGCATGAGTGCTCCTCTTGTAAATTGAGTCATCTTTTCTGTACTTTTCTTTGATATTGTGTCATAGCTAGATAGCTGCATACGCAATTAAAATCTGATGCAAAAAAAAAAAAAAAGAGGTACATTCGCTTACACAAACAGTCGACCCTCATCCGTGAGTACTCAACAAAGGGAAGTTTAAAAACAATGATTATCCAGGCAAGCCATCGTCATCTATGTAGACGAGCACCACGAGAGATTTGACGAAGTATTACTGAATTATAAACAGCGATCTCCTGTCTCAAGTGAGATATGTGTACAATCTATCCAGATTCTGCTTTCGAAACCAGCCTAGAAGTGTACCATAGCACCATCCAACCATGGCGGTGTTTATAGTGTAAGTAGCTCTCTCGCAATCGAAAGCTTAGGGCGAACTCTTCAATTTCAAAGAACTCCTGGCAAAAATCCCAAGTTCGAAACCTGTCAAAATTGTATTCGTTCTTTGCATCATGTAAACTTGTTGAAGCGTCAGCCTTACGCTGTTATATGTCACATGACTTTATCTCGTAGCGTTTACATTACTTTCTAGCGTTGTACACTAGCTAGAATAACATCCGTAACTTACACATCAATTAACTTATATTACATTCTATATACGTCCTTTAAGACTTGTCCTGATTACTCTCACGTCCTTTACAAAGAACTACATCTCAAATTTTTGCATCATAGTTTTTATTCTCCGGTGTTGTGGTTATGAGCTATGCGGAAGTCACATTGCGGAGTGATGAGGAGCGAATGATGTTAAAATTTGTGGTTCACAGTGAATAGACTCATACAATACTATGCTGTAGGTATATGGACAGAAAATATAAGACTAAACCTGTGTCCATTTATTATGGGTACATCTATGAAACTATATACATGCTCGCCTAACCAGTACACTAGTGATGTATGCTGTGGCCTTGAGCCACACGCAATGCCCTAGCCTCGACTACCTCTTTGTCTCATATCATAACACATTGGGCTCATCTCCGACCCAGGCCACACCTCGTACAGTTCCCCTTGCCTCTTTTGTTACTTGTAAGATCATTGATTTATTGCCCGTGATGAAAAGCCATCCAGCTCAGTGTTTACCCGTGGAACTCGGCCACCTTTTCCACGGAACCTTCTACCCAAAAAAAAAATGGTAGCAATGGAAACTGCTTGCGCGGAAAAAAGTCTCAAAAAACCTGCAGCCCCAGCCAGGCGAGGCCTAGACACCGGGACCACATGAGGTGCGCATATTCATCTATATCTCCCTTCTTTGTAACAGTCGAGGTCGACTTGATCCAATTCGCCATCTCCGTATCGGGTGCTGGGTACGCTCCGGAAACTCATCGGATGGCTTTCCCTCCATGATCAAGGGTTGGTGACGAGAGGAGTTTCGACCCTACCATCTGATCTGATTGTGGCTAGCTTCATGATAATGATGATAGGGGGTTCTGTTGGGAGATGAAGACGATACAGACGGCGGAAGCGATTGGGAATCCCCATCAAAATGAGGACGTTGCTACTCAATCTCTGCTCTGCAGACTCTACTGTGAGAGCTGGAGGTCGTAGGGGATACCACTGACAGGTTATGAGAATAGTGCCCCTGGCCATCGTTTTTTTGGCTGGGGTGGGAGGGCAATGAAGAGAAATGGGCTCCTCCTAATGTCTGATCGAGTGAGGAGTGGTAAACTTTGATTGGAGCTGTATGGGGGACATTGGTGTGGATATTCCACTAGATAGATATCCTTCGTCCGTAGGCAGAGAGGTCCCGCATGTCCTTGTATAGTCAAACTCAACGGAACATGTTGGTAAAACACAAAGTAGTACCAATTGCGTGCCGTCACGAAGTCGCTGAATAAAGTCACTCAACTGCTATCTCGAAATACATATAAGGTCGTCTCCCCTTTCTTCCTCTACTCCAAGCGCCTCGCTAATCAGCCAAGTCGGATCCCTGTCAGTGTCCTAACGACAACCTGAATACCGCAATTACCTTGTAATAGAAACATACAAATCAACAAGCTGTAGGGTACTAGAGCATGAAACCTCAACCCTATCAATAGATATATACCTCAAGCATAGACCGCTCCAATATATCGGGATATCTAGAAAATTTCCAGTTCATGGGACAATCTTGTCAGTATGCAGGAAAAACAAATCGCCAAGGACCAGAAT